GGCATGGTTTTTCCCTGTCCAACATTAGAAATTTGCTTTTGTGTATATTACACTGCATCTGCCACTTCCCCGGGGCCACTGCTTAAGATAAGTTTTCTTTTGGGATTTTAACCCCGGGGGTTACCACCCGGGATAACCCAAAAAGTCAGTGCGTCATCGAGGACTGTCTAACTTTTTTTCCGGGGGCCCTTAATCTTTTCCCCGGGAGCGACCCCACACCAGCGACAAAACCCCCCGGTACCTTTTTCTGCTAGGTGAACGGGACAAAGGTGAAGAAACGTTCGAAATGTTTCCACCCCCCGGGAATCGAACCCGGGCCCTCCTGTGTGAACGGGAGTTTTTAGCCCCCAGCCCCCGGGGCCACCTGCATCAGCTATTAAAAAACCTGGGGGTACCGGGAGTTTCCCGGGGAGAGAGTTCGGGGGGTCAACGCCCCCGGGGCCCGGCTGGACCGGGCCCCGGTGGATCAAGCCTGATCAAACGGGCTGTTGCGCGGGCTGCCCCAAAACCAACAAAACGAGCCACACCCCGGGCTTCGGGAACCGACTTTAGTGCTTGTCCATGCCATTTAAGACTGCCGGGGGCGGTTGGTAATCCCCCTTAGTTTTCTGGAGGTAGTTAACATCTGGGGCCCCTGACACTTATTGAAGGGTCTCTTAACGTGCTAGGCACCCTGTTTTTCATTTGGGGGATTTGCATCGTCTGCCAAGTTTTTTGCTTTCTAGGAGTGTTTTTTCGGTGCAAGTTGGGTACTAGTCCCCAGATTTTCCAGGTGTATTAACATGTATCTCTCCCCCCTGCGTTCAGGAATACAGTTTTGGGAACCTCAACGCCCCCAGAAATTGAGGTTTTATCTCCGTTATGCACGCCGTAAGGTTCTCGTGAAGGTTCCTGTACATTTCTAGGCAGCAATTTCACCTGCCTTTAAAGGGGCTGTTATGTCAGCAATATCCCGCCTAGATAGAGTGCACAATGTCCCAATAGAATAATTGAACGGGGCCCATTTTGGGTCATCAGCAAATTTCCTTTTGTCCCCTTTTAAAACCCTATATAAATTGTTTAAAGTAGATTGTGAACAACAAAGGGGCCCCAAAACTGACTCCGTGGAGCCCCGCCTGACGTGCCCCCATTCTGATTTTCCCCCTGATTTAGCAAACTCTCTGCTGCTTATTTTTTACCAGCCTTTACCCAGAAAAAAATTCTCCTCCATTCCGTGTGCCTTTAAATTTCCCAATAGCCTCTTGTGTGGAAATCTATCGAAAGCCTTACTGAAGTGCATATACACAAACAATAATTTGTTCCATGTCTACCTCCCACACCTTAGTGAGAAAATTAGCAAATTTGAAGACAGGAACGCCCCTTTTTAAAACCGGGGAGATTCATTAATCAATCTTTTCCCACAAGATGGGACGAATTGCTTCGGCAGTTATTGATTCCGTAAATTTTCCCTCTATGGGGTAAGGCTTTTTTGGTCTATGTTCAAGCTAAAGGACCCGTCACCTGCCTTTAAATATTTAACATTTGCATTTCCCCCCTTATCAGGCACATTCCATTTGTGTGATATGTTGAAAAGATTACCAAAAGGGAGCAAGTTCCTCTGTCTCATACTCCCTTTAAGGACAGGGGGGGAGACAGAGGGTTTTCTTTCCGGGGAGATGGAGGATATGTTTGCCTCTGCATACATCATGAGAGGTAATAGGGCAAACCCCTTTTTCTTCTCAGTGCGGAAAACGAGTTGGCAGAAGTAGGATAAGACCTTTACATAAGGTCCCCAATAAAAATAATTTGAGGAAAGGGGGGGAAACCCTGCTATGTGGTATTTTTTCCAAGGAGAGAAGTTGGAAAGAGGTTTCCAGGGCAAATTGGTGTCAATTCTGGCTGGGCAAATACGTAAGGAAAATCGGTAACATTTAATTACAAAATAGACCCCTTTCTTTTGGGAGAAATAACATGTATGCCAGGGAGGGGGTTTAGTTATTAGTCTGGGGGGGGGTACTGGCAACGCGTAGGGGGCAGTAAGGACTTTAAACTAGGGAAAAGTTAGTTGTATAGGTTTTTTGGCAGGAAAAAAGTGAAGTCCCATAAAGTAATATTATAGTTCTAGGGGAACTAGTAATAACAGAACGAGGTAGATATTTAAAAGCCTGACACCTTTATAAGGACATAATAGGTTTTTGTTAAAAAAAAGAAATGAGCAGGGAAAGGGGAAAGAGAAAGGGGAGTCTTTTTAATCTTTAAACAATACCGAGTGCTAGGGTAAGATTGACGATTTTTAGATTATTTTTAGTGCAGTAACATTGACGTATTTGCTTAACTGAAACGTGTTTAATTCAGAAAGTCGGGGCAAAAATTTCGGAAAAGTCACATTCGGGGTTTTAAATTGTTCCAAGTAATAAAGTATCGGAAAGGGGGGGGGTGGATTTGTATTCCCAGATCCTTGAACTGTTGCATAAAACGGGGATTAAAACTGAATAATCATAAAAAATCTTTTGGGTAGAATTTTTAGAGGGGGATGAAAAATTTATTTTAGGTGTGTTTTAAACCCTCCCCCCAAACTTAGATAGGGACCAAGGAGACTACTATGGGGGGAAAAATTTTTTAAGGCCACAAGGCACATAAAGTATAAATTCTAGGGCTTTAACTATTCATATTGATTGGAATTTTTTGACTGGAATTTTGAATCAAAACACTTTTTAAGAAGTTTCAGGAGTTTTTTTGAAGCAGTTTGTGACAGAACCTACAAGGGGAAATAACCGCTTGACTTAGTTTTGGTAAACAAAATCCCTTGTTAATAATTTTGAAATTTCAGAGGAACGGGGGCTAGCGACCACAAATCAATTACTTTAGAAAGAATGGAAATTTCGATAGTAGCGTAACTCAGTAACAGTCCCAATTTTCGCTTAGCAAATTTCGATGGGATTAGGAACACTGATCTTCTGTTGACTGGGGGAAAAGAAGAACATCAATATGACAGTTTTCTGAACACTATACATGCTGCCAAAGAACGTTTATTTCCCCCTATAAAGAAATTAGATCAAATGGAAATGACCCAAAATGGATGAATAAAAAGGGGAAATATCACAGGCATAAAAGGGAATTTTTTAGGGGTATCAAAAGGGTGAGGGGCATCTTATAATCATATATTGACATTAAGAGAGACTTAAAAAGGGAAAAGAAAAACTAAAAGGGGGGTATGAAATTAAAGTTTCTAAGGATTTTAAAAATAACCCAAAAAGTTTTTCCAGTCTATAGAACAAAAGTTTTGAGATAAGATAGGCCCCTTAAAATAACTTGGGGATCTTTCTGACAAGGAGAAAAATGTGCTCGTTTTTTAAAAAATTTTTTTCTCTCGGTTTTTACAGAGGAAAACACTAATAATATTCCGGCAATTAATTTTTATATGGGGGCCCGAAGAAAAAATTATTAACATCACAGTCACAGTGAAAGGTTGTGAAGCAGATAGACCGACTGAAGCAAAATAAGTCACCGGGGCCTGAGAGGTTTTTTCAAGGGTTCTTAAGGAATGCAAAATGGAACTCGTGAACCATTAACTAATATTTTTTATTTACTCTTCAAACAGGTTAGGCCCGATAGTGGGAAAATGGCTAATGTAATTCCTATTTTTAAAGTAGGGGCAACGTTACCGTCAAAATTAAAAGCCCAAAAAGCCTGACCGCAATTGTAGAAAATTACTAGTTCAGTTAGCTGAATTAAAAAGCCATCTCGATA